ATTCGATATGACTATCGATCTCACTATCAAACTCACTACCGATCTCATTAACGATCTCACATTCGGTCTCACTATCGATCTCACTATCGATATCACAATCGACATCACAATCGATCTCGCATTCGGCCTCACTATCGATCTCTCTATCAAACTCACTTTCGATCTCATTATCGATATCACTATCGATCTCACTATCGATATCACAACCGAACTCACAATCGATCTCACATTCGGTCTCATCATCGATCTCACTATCGAAATCACTACCAATCTCATTACCCATAGTGAACTCACTACTAACTCAATCGATCGATCTCACAATCGATCTGACTATCGATATCACAATAGATTCCACAATCGATCTCACATTCGGTCTCACTATCGATCTCACTATCGATCTCACTATCGATCTCACAATCGATATCCCATTCGGTCTCACAATCGATCTCACTATCGATCTCATTATCGATCTCACATTCGGTATCACAATCGATCTCACAATCGATCTCGCAAGCGATCTGACATTCGATCTCACAATCGATATCACTACCGATCTCACTATCGATCATCAAAACAAAACATCAACATCGTCATCATCATCACCATCATCATCATCATCATCATCAATATCATCACCATAATCGGGACACCGACGGGGCACCGGCGGGACACCGCGGGCCCCGGCCGCCCGGAAGGGAGACATTTGGTCCGGCCGCGCCTCAGCCACACGGGACACCAGCGGGACACCGGCGGGACACCGCGGGCCCCCGGCCGCCCGGAAGGGAGACATTTGGTCCGGCCGCGCCTCAGCCACAGGAGACTTTCTCTCGCCCGCCCACGCAGCTTCGCCTCGCCCGCACGCACGGCACGCACGAACACGAAACCGAAATCGATTTCCCGGTAGGGGGGCTCTCCGTCCCACTTCGATATCACCCCCTCACCTCCGATCCCTTTCTGTCTCTCTCTCTCTCTCTCTCTCTCTCTCTCTCTTTCTCTCGCTTCCGCGCCACGTCGCGCGGGCGCTCTCCTGCATCTCCACGCGCCGACAAATGCTCCTACAGAGCAGAGGAACGCATGGTGCAGCGAGGAGAAGCAGCGACACGCCCCTGCAGGAAACTGAGGGCATCCAAAGTCCAGAGCCCCTCCTGGCCTGCCCTCAAAGGCGCACTTTCCCACCTCGAAACAACGAACAAACGCGACCACCGAGCACAGAGGACACATGCTTGGAGGTAGCGTTGCCTACGACGCTCTGGGTCAAAATTCTGCCGACTCCTGAACCACTTGGCGCGGGTCACCCCCGGCTCGCGCGCAGGCAACTGCCCACCCGACCCTGCCGCTGCGCCACTCGCCCCAGCCAGCAGATGCACGCGCACCCAAGTCTGCCCATCTCAATACGCACATTGTTCATCCCCCCAAAACTCGTCTGAGCCCGGCCGCGACACTGCTCCTCGGTGACCGCAGACACCCAACCTTGATGCGGCGAGGGAGGGGCCGCCTGATTACCTTCAATAAACTTCAGACCATGGCCATTCAATCTGGCAGCGCTCGGAGGGGGGCACGCCCACAGAGGGACGAGGGAAATCCTAAGATAGCTCCGGGCGGATCACGCCCTGCACCTGAAGGCACCCAAGCAGATTCGGGAAATCCTTCGTCCGCCGGGGGTGGAGAAGTGGGCGCCCCAAAACACGGCGCCGTCAACGGACCGGCGCATCGATAGACAGGCGCACTCCGAACCAGTTCATTGAATCCAAATGACAGTGGAGCACGCAAACGTAATCCAGATGTTCTGTTGGCGCGTTTCCACCTGGCGCCGCCCAGGTGGAGAGGACGCGCGGTTCCTTGGCGAACGCGGCAAAGATGCACAGGCCCACTGCGACGCAAAGCCTAGCAGATCCTCTTCAGGTGTGCAAGCCATGCCCAGAGCTGCGAACGCTGCAAGCGCATAGGCCACCCCTCTCACTGGGTGGCCCTGACGCGCTGGAGCATGCTCGTGCTGCATGCTGCGCGCGATGGCTGAATGCGCTGGCATCCGTAACAATGCTCGCGGCACTCTTGCACAACGAAGCACATGGCTGTTGGGACGCAGAAAGGCACGTGCAGCATGTATCGCAGCTGTCGAGTCTGCCCAAAAACGATATTCGGCACGGAGCTCTACAAGGCCCACCACGTGGCTCACGACAAGGACATGGACTCGGTGCAGAAGCTAGCCTTGCCCTGAGGAAGCACTACTCGAACTTCCTCGGGGACTGCCTCTGACAAAAAGCTCGTGCGGAAGGGCGAACGATTAATCCTGTCTCCAGCCAGCACAACAGCCAATGCCTGGCGGCGCGTTGTCGCCTTGCCCCCTCTGCGCTACCTACATAAATATGCAATGTCTAAACATATGCCTGTCCGCACTCCTCAACCTCCGTGAGCTTAGCCAGGCACACTGCTGTCATCTGAATCCAAAACTGACTTCTTAAGTACGAACTGCAATGCGATACAGACCAGCTCGAGGGCTTTTGTTACCTTCTAGCGGGATCAGACATGAAAATTAAAATGCACTGCGCGGTCGCCTTGGTCGGCCGGCTAGAGGGGGGGAGCCCTGGAGGGGGCGGATGAGGGGAGGGCCCTGATCTCGCGCGACCGCCCTCGTGGGTTCCTGCCATACGACTGGCGTAGCTTGGACCAGTGCTGATTCCTCCGGCGGTGTCATGGTCGGTTGTCCCTGGCTGCCAGAAGAAATAGTGGGGGCAGCAGCAGCCACTGACCCTAAACTGCTTGCCTATGCACTGGCTTGATCTACGACCGAAGGGAGTGAGCTGTGCGAGACTGGGCTGATCCTCGCGCACGCCTGCTTCGGCGCACGGGTCAGCTGATTCATGTGCCTTGTTCGCTGCCCAGCCTTCTTTTACTCCCAGATGCTTGACCTCTGAAGTGAGCATCTGGCCCAGCAGTTGGTCTCCACCATCCGGCGCTGCCTCTCGGCATGCTGCTTCTGAAGGATTCTGGACTGAGTCTGCGGCGCGGCGAGGTCCACCATGCCCACGGGGTTCCAACAGCCAGGCGCGGGCGCCTCTCAAGGGTGGCAGGTGGAGAGGCCGACGCTCCCTCTGGCACGATCGGCGGCTCATCTGTCGAGAGAGGAGGCTTGGTGGGCTGTTCCACGAGGAGCTTGGTCGGCTCCAGGGCTGCCGTGTGACGATCCTGCCCAGCGTGCGCATGATCCAGATCAGCACCTGCAGCTTTCTTTCAACTGTGCCCGCTCAGCGTTGGCCACCCACTGACATTGCTTGGTGTGCTTCTGGTCCTTCGGCAACTCATCTTGCTGATTCTGCTGATCGCTGAAACATTCACTCGGCAGGCAAATCATGAGAATTGCTGCTAAAAAAACATGCCATGTCTACTCTACCTCCGTTTCCGCACCTATTTTCCTCTTCAGTCTGACGCTGGGGCCGAGAGCGGACAACTCACCATGCAACTATCATATGCAACTTGCGAGCAATGCCAGATTAGCTAGTGGCGGCTCCCAGTACGCGTGGTTATGAGCGCAGCATGGACGGGACTGAGGCAATTGCCTTCTCCTAGCTTAAACACTCTGGCGTCTTCGACTTAAACTTGAGATGGGGTGCCTCTACCAAGGAAGGGAGAGCTGGCTGCGTTGAGAGGTGTCTGTCTGGACGTATCTTCTTTCCGACTTGGCTGCACCCTCCCTTCCTCCTGGAATTCAGCCATCATCTCTTTGCCTGATTGTCTTGTCCTTACCTTTGTCCTTGACTCTGCCTGCCTGGCGAAACGTCTGACGTCGACCGTTTCCGTTATGGTTCAGAGTATGATTCATGACCACTTCTGTCGCACTGGGACAGCGTCCTGGCGGTGGCACTGCTGCGGGTCTGAGCTGCTGTGGTTATGTTGTTCCACATCCGAACCTGCTCGAGTCCTAACACATCTGCAAACACCACAAAGCGTGCGCGTCCATGTCGGGTACGATCCTGACGACTCCTGAAGATCTTGCTGCTGAAATGGCTGCTGCTGCACTGGGCTCTGCATCTGATCCGACATTTCTACTTCACCGTGAGGGCCTTTCAAAATACTGCGGGCCACAACTTCGCGAAGCACTCGCCTGGCCCACGCTCTTCTCCCCCGTTCGCGCCTGTGCCTAGCGGGCGATCGGAACCGAGCCTGGCTCCGACTCAAAGTGAGAAACGACGTCCGACAGAGCCACCGCGACCCTCGGTGGGCTCGGCACGGCTGGGGGCTCTCGGCACTGGAGCGCGACGAGAGAGAGAGAGAGAGAGAGAGAGCCACCTGGGGAAGGGGAGAAGGGGGAAGGGCGGCGTGAGCGGGGGGCAGAAGAAGGGAGCGGCGCGGAGCGGAGGAAGGGGGGACAGAAGAGAGGGGGGACGGGGGGAAGGGGAATGCTGGGCACGCGCGCATCACATCCAGCACTGGCCCCCCCGCCTTCCATGCCTTCCCGGTGTGTTCAGTCCCTCTGTGTTCGCCAGCGGAGGTGGAGAAGCGAATCCTGGTCCTGGGATGGCGTTTGCACAGGAGGAGAAGGTTCGAGGGAGGAGGGAGGAGAGGAGGAAGTAGAGAAGAAGAAGACCTAGGGCAAGATCGTCTGGGAAAAACTGCACGAACACTAGGGGCTCATTGTCAAATGAATGTGTAGGCCAGAGCTTACGCCTTACACGATTGCCAAGGCAAAGCCGTGTCTCAAGAGGAGGCAGCACGAGGTAGTTGTCAGCAGCCAGCAGTCGATGCGATGTGGCAGGACAAAGCGTGGCGAGGCAGTGAGGCGGGACTGATAGTAAGCGGAATTGAGGAATGGGGGGTGCGCGGTGCGAGACATGCAGACAGCAGAGACTGGAGAAGAGAAACCAGAAAAAGATATAGAGAGGCGCCTCCCCTTGCACTACGCAATCCCCCCCACACCACTCGCATCCTCCGTTACCCCACTCGTTCGCCGCATCTGCCGGTCTGCTTCCTGATGCTGCACAGACAGCACAAGCGGCCGACGCGAGGGTCTCCTGAAAAAAACCTGCATCAGGCTCTGGTATGAATTCTTCCTCCGTTGCCCGTCGCGGAGGAGAAGGGAAGATGAAGGGGCCCCTGCAACAACAACAACAACAACATTGGTTACACTGCGGCCATGTTCACGATCTGCCAGGAGTGGTTCCGGCGATTCGCAACAATCGTTTACCACCAGGAGCTGCGTAGAATCAGGCATTACTACCCGAGGCTTACGCAAATCCGCCGGCCCCCCGTGTGGGGTCTATCAGACCGCGAGAGCTAATCTGCAGCAACTGCGGAGCTGAACGTTCACAATTGCAAGGATTCCGAATTTACATGGCATGGTTCATCGTTCCGAGGTTGAAACGTTGCACAGCGAGCGACCACCCCGGTCGAAAAGGAGCCTCTCGCCAACACCGAATCAAGTCCTCGGAGTTTTTGGACACCTGGAACACGCGCTCCCTAGTCTACGATTCCTCCTTCAATTACTACGCGGTCGCGTCCCCGAGGTCACGATCCGTCGGACAATCCCGCCCGCCCTTTGGGCCTAGTTGGTTTAAGAAGTAAGCTTTTCCCGCATCCTTCTTTCCCTTCGGGGAGAGGTGCACCTCCTGAACGAGCGCGTTCTATGGACGCTCGAAGGGGGGAGGGGGTGTCGGACCAGGGGGGAGGTCCCCCCCCTGAACGGCTGCAAGGGGGGCGGGGTTCGAACCATGTCCCTCCCCCCAAAGAGAGGGGGGGGGGGGGGCGAACCGGCCCCGCCCCCCCCCGAATTGCAAGGGGGGGGGGTTCGAACAGCACCCCTCCCAAATGGCAACCGACGACGGCGAGCGCCAGCGCTGGCGCCGTCGGGCAGCGACGACGACGACGACGACGATGATATAGCATTAATGGGATACTAGTGAAGCTGGATCGATCCCTAGTGAGATTCTATTAGATCTGGATCGAGCCCTAGAATTCAATCGGAGCCTGACCTAGCCATAACTAGATTCTACTAGAGCTGGGTCGAATTCTGGCAAGATTCAATTAGAGCTGGATTTGGCTATACAATAACTATGGTAGAGCTGGATCGAGCCCGATTAAGATTATGTTTAAGTTGGAGCCAACTGCAATCAGACTAGGTTAGAGCCGGGTCGAACTGTTAGAGCTGGATCGAGTCCGACTAGGATGCTATCAAAGTCGGGACCAGCTAAAGTAGGATTCTGTTAGCGCTTGACCGAGCACCAATCCCACCAGCCCTCTTGGCGCAGGTGGTCTAGGGCGTTTCCTTGTCCAACCTCCTTCTTTTCCCTGCTTGGGAGGTTTACCTCCCCTCCCTCCGTGGGTCTGGACGGGCTCCCCCACGAGGTGTCAGAGGGTCCTTTTTGGCCCAGGATGGCTCCGAGAGGGCCTTAGAGAGCGCAAGATGGCCTCCAAGATGGCCCAAGATAGCGGTAGATGGCTCAAAATAGCCTCCGACACATATCCAAGAGGCCTCAAGACGGCCCCAAGAGGGTTTCAAGTGCTCTCCGAGCCCTCCAAGGACACCCCGAAGCCAAAAGCCTTCAAAAACCTTCGGAAAAACTATGTGTTTTGCATTCTCGTTTTGTCGCCTCCGCTGGGCTCTTGAGGCCTCAAGATAGCCCCAAGATGGCCCAAGAGAACCTCAAGAGGGGCCCAAGAGGGCACCAAGAATGGCCCAAGAGCGCACAAGAGCGCTTCAATAATGGCCCGAGAGGGCCCCAAGACAACATTTTTAGGCCTCCGAGGGGGGGGTGAATTTAGTACCCCCCTCTTTTTGAACAATGGGGCCCAAAACGGCCCCACGAGGCGTCCCAGACCCCCCCAACGAGCCCCAAGAGAGCCCCAAGACCCACCCCAAGAGCACCCAAGAGCGCTCCAAGCTTCATTGCGCGAAGCTATTTGTGGTCCTTGTTTTCTGGCCCCAAGGTACTGCCCACCCGGTTTGGACGCTTCCAAAGCGGATGTGCGACCAGGTGCTTCCAGGCGTCCCTGGTAAACCAACTCACCTGGTAACCGTTTCTGGATGGGCTGGTGGGGATACTTTTTTTGGTCGCGGCCGCGCAGCAGAAGGCAGGCGGCGAACAGGAAATCCGGGCCGACGGGCGAACCTAATTAGCTGCTGGGGGCAGCACGGGCCGGCCGGGCCAGCTCACAAAGGCGGCAGCTGGGGCAGCGGCACCGGAAAGCTGGTGGGGATACGCGAAACGTCAAGAATTGGATTTTCTTGGGGGGGGAGGGGGGGGCGCGGGTTCGAACCACCTCCACCCCCCGCGAACAGGGGGCGGGTGGGCCTGGTTCGAAACCCCCCCCCTTGGAGGGGGAGTGGCCAAGCTAGAGAGGCCTGTGTCCACGGGGGGGGCCGTTCTCCGAGCGCTTCACATGTTTAGGGAGGGCGTCAGCGGATCGTCAGAGCGTTCAAGATGGCCCAAAGTGGCCCCAGATAGTCAAGCGAGGTTTCCAAGATCGCACAAGATAGCGCCAAAATGTCGCAAGATAGCTTCCAACATGCCTCCAAAATGCGCCACCACTGTCCCAAGACGGTTCCGTGTGGCCACGTGGCCTCCCAAGGATCCCCCTGAGAGGACAAAAGTCTTATCGCACGTTCGTTTCCGATGGGTTCTTGAAGCATCGAGAGGGCTCCAAGATCACCAAAAAAAACAGGAGGAGCGCAAGAGGGGGCCCAAGACGGCCCCGAAAGCGAATATCTACGCCTCTCCTCTAGACAATCCCTCAGGGCATCGTTTCTGGATGGACTGGTGGGGATACTTTTCGGTCGCGAGCACAAACGGTACAGCCGCGCGCCGTCAGAACGAAGCAACAATGCAGCGGCCTAAATAAATTACGCACCAAGCGCACAGGAGCGGGCTACGCTGCGGCTCAGAGAATGCGGAGGACCAGGAGGAAACTGATAGAAATACATTTTTTGGTCGCGGCCGCGAGCGAAGAGCACACGCGGCGAGAGCAAATGTCCGGGGCAGCGAACAAGGCTGATTAGCTACAAGACGCGCCGCAAGCCGGCCGGCCCAACTGGTAGAAATACTTTTTTTGGTCGCGGCCACGAGACGACGGTCAGGCGGCGAAGGCAACGTCCGGGCCACGGGCGAGGCTAATTGCTAAGCAGAGCGCCGGCCGGCCGGCCCACGCAGACGGCGGCTGCAGGCTGGGTGACACTGGTAGACATACGCGAAGCGTCAAGAATTACAAAGCGTTCGCGCTCCCGAAGCAAGGATCCCTTGTAAAGTACAACCATGTCACGCTCCCCAAGCCACATAACCTTGAAAAATGCAACACACGCGCGCTTCCGAGGTCACGAGCCCGTGTAACTTACGCCACATGCAAGCCCACGAGGCCACAATCCCTTGCGAATTCCTACACGCGCGCGCTCCCGAAGCCACGATCCCTCGTTCATTACGACGCATGCGCGCATCCAACCAAATCCAGCTGCCAACACTCCATGTAGGCAATCGGCCAACCAGCCGAGTTGCAGCCTGCCAACCGACAAGCCAGCAAATCAACCAACAGAACAAGCGTAGTCAAGCAAGCAATCAGATGGGTGGATGGCGGCAAAGGGCGAAGCCATGCCTGTGGCCGCCTTACACAGCGACTGAAGGGGTCTGAGGCGGGTCTGGAGGGGGCTGCAACTCATTCCCCCCACTTCAGCACACGGTTGGCGCACCTGTTAAGAGGCAAGGTAGGTTGGCCCCATCTACCTTCGAGGGTAAACAGAACCCCAGTCAGCAAAACAGCCATTAGCGAAAACGACCTGGGACCCTTGAGACGCAACATCATCTTGCGGACGCAAGAAGGGCAAACCGCTAATCGATTTCGCAGGGTGGGTTTCTAGTAACCTCCGCTGCATCTATCCATCCCTGCATTCCATTCCCCTTCCGCTCCCCATCCTCCCTCCCACAGGACAAGGGAAAACGAGGCGAGAGGAAAGGAGAGGAGAGGAGAGAAGAAGCGAGGGCGCAACAGTTCGGACATGTACTTCTGTCCTGGCCGAGCGGGGCTCGACTGTCGCGAGGAGAAGAGGAGAGGAGGGGAGAAGAAAGGAGGGGAGAAGAAGTAGAGAAGAGGAGGAAGAGAGGCTGTCCTGGCCGAGAGGAGAGGAGAGGAGAGGAGAGGAGAGGAGAGGAGAGGAGAGGACAGGAGAGGAGAGGAGAGGAGAGGAGAGGAGAGGAGGAGAGGAGAGGAGAAGAAGCCCTCCCATCCCCTCCCCTCACTGCGTGCCCCGGCCTGCCCTTCCCTCCGCCTCCCTCTGCCCACCCCTCTCGCGCCAACCTTTCACCCCCCCCTCCCTCTCTGTCTCGCCTCCCCATCCCCTCCCACCCCCTTCCTCCCTCCCTCCCCTGTCTCCTCCCATTCCTCCCCTCTCTTCACCCCTCCCTCCTCTCCCCTGCCCTCGCACGTGCTCCGCAGCACGAGCCGTTCGTCCGAAGTGGCAGAAACACCACCCAGCAGCCAGAGTGAGCCCTCCGACTACGCGCCTCGCTGTCGTTGTCGCCTCGCGCTTTCTCATGCCCTTGCCTTCACGTGTATCCCTTCTCTCCATCCCTCCATCCACGCCTTCCATATCCTGCCTCCCACTCTCTCTCTCTCCTCTGTCCCTCACTCACTTCCCTGCCTTACCCTCCCTCTCCCTCCCTCCCTCCCTCCCTCCCTCCATCCCTCCTCCCCCCTCGCCATTTATATCATTGCTCCCCTGCCCTCCAGTCTCTCCTCCCTTCTCCCAGTCCCTGTCCCCCACCGCCACTCTTCTCTCCCACGCCTGCTTCCATCCCTCACTCTCCCACTCGTGTATATCATATTCCCGGCTCGATCACCCTCTCTATCCCCATCCCTCCAGCCCCTCTCCTTCGCACCCATTCCCTCGGCTTCTCATCTCCTCCCCCCCTTCTCCCTGACTCCCTCTCCGCTCCAGCCTGTCCCCCTCACGCCCATCCCCTTTCCGCCCCCTGCCTCCCTCCCCACCCACCCCGTCCACCCACCCTCCCTCCCAAGCGAAGACACGAGCAGTGGCCGCAACGCTGGCCTTGCGCTCGACGTAGCTTTTGCAAATGGCAAGAGCTCTAGCCCCGGCGCGGTCAAACATCTGCTGCGGTGAGACTCGAGGGCATGACATCCCGGATGACGCGGAGACAATCGGAGGCCAGCAGATTCGGGCAAGACGTGGAGACATAATGGGGGAGATGGGGAAATGCGTGTGGGCCGAAGAGAGTCTCAAGGCGGCTCGAGATGAGCCGAACCTCCCTCCCTCCCATCGGCTACACGCAAGAGTGACCCTAGGCAAGAGTGACCTTTGGTGCGCAGCGCAACGGGGAACGCGGGGTGATCAAACCTGGGCACGCGAGCCGCTGCTGCCGCTCCGCGTGCCGCGATCGGGAGCCCCCGTGTGGGCCCGCACCGGAGGCCGCTCCGTCGACGGGTCACTCCTGCGTGCAGCCGACTCCCCAATCCCTCCTCGGCCCCCCCCTACAGGGCACTTTTCAATACATGGGATTTGTAAAATATAGGATTTGTCATGCATGACTAATGCATGAATAAATCAATGCACGAACTCATCGTTGTTGTTGATACTAAATCCCTGCATGTTTTGTACTTGATCCGCACGCGGAGCATGTATTAAAACGGCCCTGTACCCTCCTCGAAGCGGATCGACCTGTACTCCAGCTTGGGCATGCCCTGGTCTGCGAAGCCCGCCGGCCCCCGGCAAAGGCCGCGGGGCGCGGAGGCGGAGGAGGAGGAGGAGGCGGAGGGGGAGGGGGAGGAGGAGGAGGAGGAGGAGGAGGAGGAGGAGGAGGAGGAGGAGGAGGAGGAGGAGGAGGAGGAGGAGGAGGAGGAGGAGGAGGAGGAGGAGGAGGAGTGGGGCCCCCCCGTCTCCGCCGAGGAGCGCTCCCCGCGCGCGGTCGGCCTGCCGCCCTCGGCGCCCCTTCCGCCCGCGGGGCGCCTTCCTCTGTGGGCGTTGGGGGGGGGGGGGGGAGCGAATCGAGGGGAGGGGAGGCAGAGAGCAAGAAAAGGCATGCGCTTCTCGATGTGTCCTGCTGATCCCTGCGCAGGGGCCGCCGCGAGTCTTCTCTGCGTCGTTCCAGGTCTAACGGATGATCCCCAGAGGGAATCTTCTCAGGGAGGGGGGGGGAAGTCGGCTACGCGCACGAGTGACCCTTGGCAAGAGTGACCTTGGGTGCGCGGATCAGTGGGGGACGCGGGTTCGCCAAACCTGGGCGCGCAAGCCGCTGCTACCGCATCGCGCTAGGCGATCGGGAGAACTATCTGTGCCCGCCCAAAATCACTCCGGCGAGAAATCACTCTTACGTCTAGTCGAAAAAGGTGCACGTCTCGGACCCGAAAAGCTCCCTCTGGGGCCCTACAGGGCCCCTTTAGGGGCCCCAAAGGGCCCCTATTCTGCATCCCTCGCTGCCCCCTCTGTATCACCACCCCATTACGCAACGTCCAAGTCCTTCCACCCCCCTGAGATCCGGGTGCCGCAACTCTTTGACACTGGTCGCGGCCTCGGGACCATCACAAAACAGATCGATCCGGCTCGAGAAATGACGCAGAAATATGCGGTCGTTAGCTCCAGTCGTAATTTCTTGCGATGCTATCACTTTTTCGTAACGTCACGTCGGGTCTCAGGGCAGTCGGGTGTGAGGGCAGGCGGGAAGGTACGACACGTGAACTGGGGAGTCTTCCAGAAAAGCGGGGTGATCCTCGGCGGCTGGCGTGGGAAGGTACGGGAAGCTGATAGGCTCCCTGGATGCCTCTCAGAAGCTCCCTGAGTGCTCTTTGGAGCTTGCTTGGAGCTTCTCACAATCTTCCGAAAGGCTTCCGAAAGATTATGCTGGTTGTTCGAGGGGCTTCCGAGAGGCTTCCGAGGGGCTTTGGAGAGGCTTCCCAGAGGCTTCCGAGAGGCTTCCGAGAGGGTTACGAGAGGCGTCGGAGAGGCTTTCGACTGGCTGCGGGGATGCCACGCGATGGCACCCGCTGGGTGTCACAAGCGAAGCTGCCCGGGAGGCGTGAGGGGGGTCCGAAATGGGAGCGGGGACGCCCTGCGAACGCATCCACTGGGGCCATGCGTGGAGCGATGGCGAGGTCGAACTTGAATCCGCGTAGGGCGTCACTGTGCTGGACCCCCCAGCAGCCCTCGAAAGTGGCGACAGTTTCACAGATCGCAGCCCCCCGGGGATGGCGAGGTCTAATGTGAATCCGCGTAGGGCGTCACTGTGCTGGACCCCCCAGCAGCCCTCGAAAGTGGCGACCGTTTCACAGATCGCGGCCCCCCAGGGATGGCGAGGTCTAATTTGAATCCGCGCAGGACGCCACTGTGCTGGACCCCCTGCAGCCCTCGAAAGTGGCGACCGTTTCTCAGATCGCGGCTCCCCAGGGATGGCGAGGTCTAATTTGAATCCGCGTTGAACGTCACTGTGCTGGACCCCCCAACAGCCCTCGAAAGTGGCGACCGTTTCACAGATCGCGGCCCCCCAGGGAGGGCGAGGTCTAATTTGAATCCGCGTAGAACGTCACTGTGCTGGACCCCGCAGCAGCCCTCGAAAGTGGCGACAGTTTCACAGATCGCAGCCTCCCCCACCCGAGGCAAGGCAGGAGGAGGCAGGAGGGAGGCGGGAAGCAGAGAAGGAAGGACGGAGACCATAGTGCATTATTTAAAACGAATACGCAACCAAGGAGGGTTGGGAAAAAGAAGCCAACAAAAAGAAGCGAGCAGCCATGCAAGTACGGAGAGCCATAGGAGTAAGCTTGGGCATATAGGCATTGGCATAGGCATACGAGCGCTCAGAGGTGGTGCATAGGCAGAGGCATAGGCTCAGGCATAGGCGTAGGCATCGAAATCTGGGGGAGGCATAGGCATAGGCACAGGCATAGCCATAGGAATTAGCGGGGGCTTAGGAACTAGGGGGGCAACAGACCAGTTAGTAGGGTTTGAGTTAGAACTCCTATAGGGCAAGCCGATGTGGAGAATATCATCATAAGCATCCGTATCATCACCATCATGATCATCATCATCATCAGCAGCAGCAGCATCATAATCAGCATCAGCATCATCATCAGCAGCATCATCATCAGCATCATCAGCATCAGCATCACCATCGCCATCCAAATCATCATCATCATCATCATCATCATCACCACCACCACCACCACCACCACCACCACCACCACCACCACCATCATCATCATCATCATCATCATCATCATCATCATCATCATCATCATCATCATCATCATCATCATCATCGCCAGCTTTATCGGCATAATCATAATCATGTTCCTCGTCATCGTCATCATCCTCATCGTCCTCATCACGGCTCTCCTCCCCAGCCTGCGAACACAAGGTGTCACACGTGACGAACTCCCGAGCCCCCTCCACTCGAACACTCACCACCCATAATACTTGGCGCGCATGGTGGCCAGACCTGTCGCAGGCAGCTGGATGTATACATCTGTGTATAAGCACACATAGAGATAGGGGGAGGGAGAAGGGGGAAAGGGGGTCATGGGGAATTTTGGAGTCCCGAAACGGTGCGGTGACAAACCGTGCGGTGACCTCGAAATCCCCTAAGACCTCACCGCACGGTCCGTCACCGCACGGTCTTGGGACCCCGGAGGCCCCTGTCGCAGAGATCCTCGGAGAACGACCCGAGTCCCAAAACCGTGCGATGACCCCGAATCCCCACCGACTCACTGCACGGTGTGGTCACCACCCCGTTTGGGAACTCCCGAGGAATGGGATCGGGCCTACGCCTGGCGGCAGCCCTGCCGGGATAAGTGTCGATGGGACCAGTGTAGATGAGGTTGCCGAACTCTGGCAGCCTGCCCGCATCCTGAGGACGACATCAGCAGCAAGGGGGCCTTCAATCCTTCACGCTCCTCTCCTTCTCCATCCGCCATGATCCAGAATCCCTCCCCTCTCTGCTCTCTTCCTTCCCCGCTCACTCTGCCCACTCTCCCTCTCATGTCCCTCAAGCACCTCCTCCATCCCGATGGTAACTCCCCCCTGTCGCGCCCCCAGACGTGTCGCTAGAACGGGCCGTGCGTTCCGCTTCAGACGTGTTCACCAGTTCTGACCCTGCACCCTGAAATTTGCAAACATTCTATGGATGAAGGGGACTAGTTTTCCGAATGGAGTTCTCGTCTCAGGGCCGCGCACATTCGTCTAAGCTTGCAAATGTTAGAAGAATGGAGGGGGGGTCATGTTTGAAATGGTGCTCCCGCCTTAGCACCGCGAACGTGTGTCTTAAAACCTTGCGACTTTTTTACCAAGGATAGAGGGGATACAAAACGGGGCTCTGGCTTTGGCGCCCCGTACATTCGATGGAAAAGCCTGCAACCGCTTCAAAGACGTAAGGCTTATGTTCAACTAGGGTTCTTGTTTGAAGCCGCGCCCATGCGTGTTACACGATTGCAGCAGTTTCAAGGATGGAAGGCGACCCCTTTTTCAAAGTGGAACTCTTGCCACAGAGCCGCGCACATGCGTCCTGTAAGCTTGCAACTGTTTCAGGGGCTCATGACGGTTACTGTTCAAACTGGGTTGTTGGTATGAGACAGAATGGCAGAAGAAGAACAGCACCTTGAACATGTGTAACAACTGCACAGAGACATGGCTGAAACGTCTCTAAAGTGGGGTCATCGCTCGAAACTTCCCCAGAAAGCATGAAGCATGACCATACGAGCAAACCTGTCCGATAGATACCCATATGAAAGACTTTCCTTTTTTCCAAACGATGGTATTGTTGGACACTTCGTTGAAGGTATGGCAATACGTGTTCGCATCTGTAACTACGCGCTGGAAGGATGCAAGGCAGTACCTTTAGGGCTCTCGCATGAATGGCAGGCCCAGAAGGAGCTGGCCTTTCAAGGGGGCACTTCTCGCAATGAAAAGAAGGGACTGTAAGGACTCACGAGGAGGGGACTTGGAACGGGAGGGTGTGTTGCAGCATCGTTGATGCATCATGGGTTTAGGCTGGCCCTTTTCGTTCTCCTGCTCCCCGCCATTCATCTGCTTGACTGCTGCATTCTGTGGAACGAGTGTGCGCGCCCCAAGGCAAGAGCCACGTGTCGGAAACGGGCCTCCCTCGAAAGCGCACGGCGCTGCGGCGGGAACCACTTTTTTGGAAACGATCCGTCTGTCATCTGTGTAGCTGTTTTTTTCAAGAGCAAATGTGCGCGGCGCTGACTGTCACTGGATGCCACAAAGAGTGCCGCCCAGGATTGCTTTCACGTGACGCCTTCGTCGTTGATGGCCTTACTCTTTGGATCGTGCCCTGGCCAACCACGGGGGTCTCCCCGCTACTGCGTCTTATCTGGCCTTTGCACGGATCAGCTGCTTTATTTGTATGTGCTTTACCGCTGGGACGCACCGACCGCTACAAGGACTTGTGCCTGCTCCAGCACACCCCGAGGTGCTTCACGCTCTGAGGGCGCTCCAGCCTTTCGCGGCCCTCCCCCCCTCCCCCCCGCCTCCCTTCCGCCTTTGTGCCTAATCCGCTTAACAGCAGCCCTGTTCTAGCTCGACCGCAACTAGGATCAAAAGCGCCGCAACATGCACGGCGCTCAGGCGAGAGCCTTGTTGCACAAACGAATTGTAGCCCAACCGTGTAACCTTTGGAGTGCGCAATGGTCGATTTCACATTTCGGGGCCCTGAGCTGAGAAACTCTCAGGCATAATTTTCAGCAGCGTATGGTGGTGCGAGGAGACGGAGGAGGAGGAGGATGAGGAGGAGGAGGAGGAGGAGGAGGAGGAGGAGGGTTTTTGACAAGGAAGATGGATGGAGGAGGAAGAGGGGGAGGAGAAGGAGGAGCAGGAACAGGAGGAGGAGGAGGCGGAGGAGGAGGAGGACAAGGAGGAGGAGGATGAAAAGGAGGAGGAGGAGGAGGACGGTTTTTGACAAGGAAGATGGATGGAGGAGGAGGAGGAAGAGGATGAGGAAGAGGAGGAGGAGGAGCAGAGGAGTAGGATGACGAGGTGGATGAGCTGGGGGAGGATGAGGAGGGAAGATGGATGTGGAGGACGATCAATGGAGATGATACATGTTGCCACATAATTTCCAGATGTAAAATTCATGTTTCAAGTCTGTTTTCCAGACATTAACACAGCGTGGCGGTTCTCTCTAAGGACCCAGGCAACGTCCTACAGTGCCGTTTTTTATACATGCTCCGCGTGCAGATCGTGTACTAAAAATGCAGGGATTTAGTATTAAAAACAACGATGAGTTCATGCAGAAAATTTACTCATTGATTGATCAAGTATTGAAAAATCCTATATGCTTAAAGATCCCCATGTATTAAAAACTGCCCTGTACATCACAGCCCCAAAATACCAAGCGCTGGTCTCCCCTGGGAGTCGGGACCCCTCTTGCCTCTGCCAGTCCTCCGCTTCCTGCCAGCCCCCTCCTCTTCCCCTTCGGAGGAAAGGCTCGGCGGAGCCGACTCGGCTCCGACAACGCGTCCGGTTGCTCCCTGGGGCCAGTGGCTGGGTGAATCTACGGTGTCCCCCTGGCCGCACCCCACGAAGCGAAGGGCAAAGGCCCTCGTCCCCACTCCCCAACAGCCCTCCATCTCTGTGCTCAGTCATCCGTCCTCCTCCTCCTCCTCCTCCTCCTCCTCGTCCTACCCCTCATCCTCCTCCTCCTCCTCCTCCTCCACCTCCTCCTCTTCTGGGTCCGCCAGTCCGTGTGTTCTTCCCTCCTCATCCTCATCATCCTTCTCCTCCTCGTCGTCCCCCCCCCCTCCTCCACCTGCACCTCATCCTCCTTCTCCTCATCCTCCTCAACCTCCTCCTTCTGGGTCCGCCAGTCCGTGTGTTCTTCCCTCCTCATCCTCTTCATCCTCCTCCTCCTCCTCCCCCTCCTCCACCTCCACCTCATCCTCCTCCTCATCTCCCCCGGGGCCCTCCGCCCGAGAGAAAGAAGGAGGCGCGCGACGCAGGCGCGAGCCTTCTCCGCGAAGTAGTCACAGTTCACCCGGACGGAGATGTTGGGATCCTGGCCGCGCTGGGCTCGGGAGGGGGGCTGCTGACTGCGACGACGGGGCCTCAGGCGCCGCGCCCGACACCCTCTGCGTTCCCCCCCGCCATCACATCTGGCCGATTGCAACTCCTCGTTCATGTTCGCATCAGCATCAGCATCATCATCATCAGCAGCAGCGTCAACATAAAGATCGTTGTCGTCGTCGCCATCTCTAGAGGCAAGCGGCCCTCGGAGTGGCGTTCGTGTGCTGCCTTCGCGTGAGGCGCCGCTCCATCGCCACTGATCCTCTAGAGCCTCCACCTTCGTCGACCTTCAGACATTCCAAGACGGGACGAAGAGAGGCCCCCGAGCCTTCTAAGAGAGCCCCAGAGGGCCCCAGTAGAGCCCCACAGAGCTTCAAGAAAGTCCAGAAGGGCCCCAATAGAGTTCCCGACTCCCGCAAAAGGGACAGAGAGGGCCACAAGGTGGCTCGAGAGGTCCCCAAGGCCCCCAAGGCGGCCCAAAGACAGTCCCCAGAGGACCGAGAAGGGCCCCAATATGGCCCAAGATTCCATGTGTCCGCTCCCGCGTACATTGCCCCCCTCTCTGTCTCCATCCCGTTCCCCCTCCCCTCCCTCCAGCCCACAGCATGCTCCTGCCCCTTCCCCAAATGCACCCCCCGCTCTCTCCTTCCCACCCCTCCCCTCCCGTCCCCTTGCCAGTCCGCTCCTCTTCCCCCTCTTCCGCGTGTCCTCCCCTTCTTCCCCTCGCAGGGCGACGACATCTATACATATCCACTGCTCCCCAGCCAGGCCCGTCCTGAACCCACCAGCGGTGCATTCGACACGCCCTCCCGGGGCGTGGCCAGGAGGGCGCACACGCGGCTCCTGGACCCCGGAAGGGGCCCGGCCAGAGGGGGGCGCGGCGGCTGTGTGTACGCGGACTTCGTCGCCCGACCTCTCGCTCCAGGCCCCGGGTCCCTCAGGATCATGTTCTCGAAGATCCGCGTGTACCCCCGCAGCGGCAGCGCCTGCCAGTCGTCGGGGAAGTAGCGCTCGTCCGTGTTGGTCCTGCCGGGCGCCGCGCGCGGCGCCGCACGGGACCTCGGCGGGCCGCACCTCCGAAGCCCTGGGCTCCGTGCACGCTCTACGGCAGGTCCGTGTCGTACGGGCTTCGGCGGTTGGCTTCTGACACCGCGGGGGTCGCTCTGCCTGGAACGACGCGCGGCTTCGCACAGGACCTCGACCGGCGTCCTTCCGCATCGTGAACTCTGTGCGCATTCTGCAGCAGGCTCGTGTCGTGCCGGCTTCGGCGGTTGGCTTCTGACACCGCGGGGATCTTTCGGCGGTGAACGACTTACAATCGGCCGTTTCCGAACCGTCGGGTCGTTCAGCATCGACCGAGTCTGGGTCGGTGGCGGCGCTCAGCGTTGAACGCCAGCGGTGGGATCGCCGCCAGTCGACATGGGGCGAACCTGCCGTACACCAGTGGCGCCGTGGAGAGACTTCAACCGAGAAAGTTGGAGATCCGAGAGTTCGACCAGAAACTCGTGAATGCATCTGAGAGTGCCTAGTTGAAACGAGCAAGGGATCACTTGGCGAAATGTTGTGATCTCTGGGGAGGATGCGAGGAGGAAAACAAAGGAGGGAGAGGGAACAGGAGAAGGAGGAATACACAGGAACAGGAGTATGACAGCGCGGGGGGAGAAGGAAGGAGAGAAGGCTGATGAGGAGGAACAGTTATTAAGGACGCATGCGGCGAGTCACCGCCGCCCCTGCCATCGAGGGGGGCCTGTGTGGCCGAATGCTGCGGAAACGCATCGCACATGTGGCCGCTGATCCATGCGAAAATCGGTCACTCAACCGCGGTGGAACTCTGAGGGCCAGCCTGGGCCCGTAGCCCTCCGGCCGCTTTGGAGGCACCCCGAAGCTCTCCAGGGCAATCTCGGGGCCACCTCTCTGGGGCCCCTCGAGGCCGCGCTCGGGCTGTGTTGGGGCCCTCTGGCTGCCATGTTGAGGCGTCCTGGGGCACTCTTGGGCCGCTCTCGAGCCCTCCTTGGGCGGTCCTGGGATACTTTTTGGGCGGCGTTGGGCGATATTGGGTGCATCTAGGCTCTGGGGCCGTCTTGGACGCACTGACGACCAAAAATACTCGAATATGACAATCATGAAAATGCATCGGACAAGTCTCCGGTACGGTCGCGGGCTCCCCCTGAGGCTCCCACTCTCCATCTGCATTATTCCTATTCAGCCTCCTCCCAGTCCCTGGAATCCTCTCGCCCCAGCTCTCTTAAACCAACTTGGGGCGAGCTTGGAGGCCTCTGCGACCACTGTGAACGCTTCGGGCGATCTTTGAGGCACCGTTGGTCATCGTGGACGCCCCTCAGTCTGAAAGGGCTGATATTCCGGATATCGTTGAACAAAACAATTGGATGTGAATGCGTTTTGCCTGTCGAGAGCCTCTCGAGTGTCCTCCTGGGGCCCTCCCTGGGCGAGACATCTTGGGCCATCCCTGGGTATCTTCGCAGTCTTCGCGGCGTCTCGAGTCCCTCGGGGCCATTCCGCAGGCAATCTGGGGCTTCCCTCGGGACCTCTTGGGGCTCACGAGCCGAAAGAAACATGACCGTGGATGTTTGGGCGGTTCCTGGGAACACCGTGAGATCGTCATTGGAGCGACGAAAACAAACGGGTCTTGCTCGAGAAAACATAGCCACCTGACGCGGTGGCTCACGCGGGCCGCCAGCGCGGCACACCGCGTGGAGGATGGGGCGCGTACGGGCGATCGCACACGGGCAGCTTGCGCGCGAGTGTCCACGCGGTCGGCCCCGTTCTTCCTGGGCGCTGGCGTGGCAAGGTCGGAAGACCTGAAGACATCCCCGACGCCAATGTCGGTAGCAACTCATGGGAGCCTCCCCTAGCATCTTGTTGGCTCTTGCGAGTCGACGCTTATCGAAGCTAATCGACGCGAAATCGACGCTCATCGACGCTCATCGACGCTAGTCGACGCTAAATCGGCGCTATGTCATCGATTACCAGACGCTAGTCGACGCTAGTGCACTCTAAAGACGTAATTATGAGGGTACGCAAGGCTCCTATGATTTGCTGCCGAAGCCAATGTGTGCTTCTGGCGGTTTCCACCGAACTTGCGGCAGCTTCCACCGGTACCGCTGCTTCTCTGTACCCTCGCTGGCTTCCGCGGCAGAGGGAGCAGGCGGGGGAGAAAGAATATGCAGGAATCAAAGCGATGAGAACAGCAAGGGGAAAGAACGAAGAGGAACGGATCGAGAAGGGTAAGGAGAAGGAGGCTCAGGAGACGAAAGAAGAGTATCGAAGACGCCTACGGCGAGTCAACGCCGCCCCTATGTTCTGGAAACGCAGCGCGCGACTCGCTGGGAACCATTGGCAAACGGCTGTCTCTCGGGGCTATTCGGGGGGGTGGGCCGTCTTGGAGCACTCTTGAAATATACTGGGGCCATGTTGGAAGGTCCTCCCGGAGCTCTCTTGGCGCCCCCTTGAGCCATCCTGGTGTCCAGTCGAGCCACCACAGACACCTCCTGGACCCATTTTAGAGCCAACTGGAGGCCCTCGCGGGGCAATATGGTGCCGTCTGGGGACGCTCTTGGGAGCCCCGCCTTGGACGCTCTAGGAGAGAGAGAGAGAGAGGGAGAGAGAGAGAGAGACAACAGAGAGAGAGGGACACAGAGACGGACACAGAGACAGAGATAGAGAGAGAGAGAGAGCAAAACAGAAAAAGCCCAAAGACAAGAGATGGACGGGCAATCCAACCCACGGACGGACAGCTGCAGACGGACCGACGGACGGAGGGACGAACGGAAGAGGAAAGCGGGGAAGAGGGGCCGTTCTGCCGCGCGCCCGGGTACCACTCTCGCAAGACCGGATGCCAGCGACGTCGCGAGCGCGGCACAGCCCGCCGGCGCGCCTCGGCGCCAGTGCAGGTCGAACTCCAGGGAGTGTGATATCTCGGCTCTGGAGGCGGCCCGGGAGTCCGAGTTGGAGGGGCCCCGAGGAAATCGGTCAGGAGATGGGGGGGGTGAGGCCAGACCTGCTCGAAATGAGTCCCCAGACCCCTCCCCGGGGTCCATCTGGTGCAATTCCCCAGGTCCGTTTTGGACGGTCCCGGGGCCCGAAAGGGGCGCCCACAGGCCGGAGAAGGGAAAAAATCCGCCGACCCCTTGGGGATCATCGGCGTGTGAGATGCTTCCCCCTCCCCAAACCCCTCCCCCGGGAGCCCGGTCCGGTCGATTTGGGGGGGGGGGGTCCGGGACGAGCGCAGCACGGCCGGGACGAGCGCAGCACGGCCGGGACGAGCGGTTCACGGGGCTTTTCCGGGCCCAAGAGGGCCTCAAGACGGGCCAAGAAGCCCCCAAGAGGCCTCCAAGCCGGCCCACGAAGGCCCCGAGACGCCAAACGACCGCTCCAAAACGCCCAAGATGGCCCCAAGACGGGCCAAGAGGTCTCCAAGACGGCCCCCGAGGTCCCAAACAAGCCTCCCAAGAGGACCCCAAGAGTCTAAAATTGTTGATTTTCCATAGTGTTTTTCGATGTTTTTTGCTTTTCCGCCTTTTCGGCTTCCCGACGCTCCAAGACGGCCAAAGAGGCCCCCAAGAAAGCCCCAAGATGGCCCAAGAGGCCCCCAAGACGGCCTCCAGACGGCCCAAGACGGCCCCAACACGGCCCAAGAGGTCCCCAAGACGGCCCAAGAGGGCTCCAAGACGGCACCAAGAGGGGCCCAAGAGGGCGACCAAACATGTTGAAACTCTAGCTTTCTGCCCCCAGGAGCCCCAGGGGGCCCCAAGAGTGCCCCAAGAGGCCCCCAGAGGCCCTCACGAGGCCGCCCAGACGCCCCAAGGAACCCCCAAGAAGCACCCCAGAGGCTCCGAAACGGCCCCCAAGTGGCTCCAAAACTCGCTTTTCACCCCTTCGCAGCTTCTACTACCCCCAGATTGGCATAAACAAGGGGTCGGCGGTGTGGCGTAAGCCTAAGAATCATCCTGGCGAAGGTCCCAACCATATGCAGTTGTGGGTACCGCAATTGTGAATATCTGCTTCGGTGAAGCTCCCTATGGGGCCACGCTGTACTGTGTGGGTGGTGTGCCGAATTGGGTTTCCGGGACGCATGCGGACGGTCCCACTGAGGGCTTCGGTGGAGCTCCCTATGGGGCCACGAAGCGCTCTACTGAGTGAGTGAAAATGCCAAATTGGGTTTCCGGGACGCGTGCGGACGGTCCCACTGGGGGCTTCGGTGGAGCCCCCTTATGGGGCCACGAAACGCTGCACTGCGCGGGTGAAAATGCCAAAAAAACATTTCCCGGACGCGTACAGAGGGTGGCATTGGGGCCTTGGGTGGAGCCCCCAATGGGGCCACGAAACGCTGCACTGGGTGGGTGAAAATGCCAAATTGGGATTCCGGGACGCATGCGGACGGGGGCACTGGGTCATTCGGTGGAGCTCCCTTTGGGGCCACGAAACGCTGTACTGGGTGTGCGGGACGCATGCGGACGGTAGCGCTGGGATCTTCGGTGGGGCTCCCTATGGGGCCAGGAAACGCTGTACTGGGCGTGCGGGACGCATGCGGACGGTAGCACTGGGACCTTCGGTGGGGCTCCCTATGGGGCCACGAAACGCTGTACTGGGTGGATGAAACGCAGGGAGGAGGGGGAGGAGGGCCACGAAACGCTGTACTGAATGTGCGGGACGCGTGCAGACGGTAGCACTGGGACCGTAGGTGGAGCTCCCTATGGGGCCACGGAACGCTGTACTGGGTGTGCGGGACGCATGCGGACGGTAGCACTGGGACCTTAGGTGGGGCTCCCTATGGGGCCACGAAACGCTGTAGTGGGTGTGCGGGACGCATGCGCACGGTAGCACTGGGACCTTTGGTGGGGCTCCCTATGGGGCCACGAAACGCTGTACTGGGTGGGTGAAACGCAGGGAGGAGGGGGAGGAGGGCCACGAAACGCTGTACTGGGTGTGCGGGACGCATGCGGACGGTAGCACTGGGACCGTAGGTGGAGCTACCTATGGGGCCACGAAACGCTGTAGTGGGTGTGCGGGACGCATGCGGACGGTAGCACTGGGACCTTCGGTGGGGCTCCCTATGGGGCCACGAAACGCTGTACTGGGTGGGTGAAACGCAGGGAGGAGGGGGAGGAGGGCCACGAAACGCTGTACTGGGTGTGCGGGACGCATGCGGACGGTAGCACTGGGACCGCAGGTGGGGCTCCCTAATATGGGGCCACGAAACGTTGTACTGGGTGGAGGAAGCGCAGGGAGAAAGGGGAGGAGGGAGGAGGAGGGAGGAGTGGGAGGAGGAGAAGGAGGAGGAGAGAAGAGGAGAACTGGACGAGGGAGGAGGGAGGAGGAGGGGGAAGAGGAGAGGAACGCGGTCACCGTCTCTTCAAAACGAGGACCCAACACCACAGGATGGTTGGGAAAAACTCGCCCCCCACCCTTCCTGCTCGCCAGAACTGGTGCTGGGCCACCTCGGACCCCCAGCCCGCTCCAGTCTCGGCTGAGAACCTCTGGGTGTACTCGCGGAGGTGCTCCCGCCGCGCCGCCCGCTGCGGATCCGCCGCCGCCCACCGCGCGACCGTGTCGAGCGAGATGCGCTCGCCCTTCGGGCCCAGGCCGCAGCAGGACATGTCCCGGCGGCGCGCCCAGGGGTGGAGCCCAGGACCCTTATCGCGTCGAGAAAAAATCACGTCGGGAGGTGTCTGGCCACTTTCGGACCGAAGGGAGGGCCCTCGCCGGGCCCTGGGACCGCGGAGGCACGACTCGGGGTGAGAAGCTGGTCCCAGGGGAGGGATGGAGAAGTCTGCGGGCCCACGTCGTGAGAGAGCACACACGACGTCCGAAGCCTGGGAAAGGCAGAAGGGGCGGGCCTTCTCAGAAGGCTCGGAAGGCCTTCTGAGCAGATCTCCAAGCCTTCTCTGGAGGGCACAGAGGGCTTGTCGGCAGGCCGAAGGGCTTCTGGAAAGCCCCGCCGCCTCCTGAAGGGGCCTGCTCCCTCTCGCTTCCCCCCTCGGTGCGCCGCCGAATGTCCACACCAGCCCGCAGGAAGCCGGCGCCACCGAGAAGGCGGTGCAGCGCAACGAAGACCTGGAAGGACGGTGCCGACGCCTGTCCGGCCCAGTCCCGCGCAGGCAGGAAGTCTAGCGCGTGAATGAGCTGGTAGTTCAGATGGGTCCAGAGCTGCTCCGCGTCGAGCCGCATCGCCACGTTGTCCACGACACGGCGGAAGGTGATGCCCTCGAGATAGCGGAGCCTGCTCACGTTTCTCTCGAGGGCATCCAAAAGAAAGAAGTTGTTCAGCAGCCGCTGCATGGCGGGAAAGGCCTCCACGTGCTGCATCTCAAGCGGACTCAGCAGCTCGGCAAGCCGAGGCACCTTCGACTTGTGCACGGGCAGGAGATTCGTCGTCGCCCCAAGGGCGCTATGGAGCAGGAGGACTCTGGGAGACCCGGCCTTGTAATGGAGGGCGCAGTAGTCGTGGCAAAAGACTAGGTGGTCCATGAAAGAGCCGTCAGCGTGCTCCAGCTTGAAGTCGCACTCGTCGGCCATGAACGCGCGTATGCCATCGTCGACTGGAACCGTCGCGGGAAGGGTGCCGCAGAGCTGCGAAAGCTCCTCTACGATGCGGTCGTCCCAATGCAGTGTGACGCCAAATCTCCGCCTGATTCCTCTCCTCATCGCAGCGTCCTGCACCGTATGAAAAATGGTACGCTCGATATCGAAATCCTCGTCGTCCCGCACCAGCACGCGATCGCCGTGGTCCCTGGGACCACCGTGGCACATACACGCCTGGCGCCTCCAGTCCATCGCATGCACCTCCTGCATGTCCGTTCCTGGGCCACGATTCGGCGGCGAGCGAGGGGTGGAAGTGAAAGGAGAAGGCATTCTGGGAAGGCCGCGGGACCCTCAGAAGCCCTCGCGCCTTGTGATAAGTTTTCTGTGTATTCGGGGAACCCTTACCAAAAATGATCCTGGCGAAGGTCCCAACCATATGCAGTTGTGGGTACCGTGATTGTGAATATCTGCTTCGGTGAAGCTCCCTATGTTGCTACGATGCGCTGCACTAGGCGGGGGGGAACGCTGTACTGTGTGGGTGGTGTGCCGAATTGGATTTCCGGGACGCATGCGGACGGTCCCACTGAGAGCTTCGGTGGAGCTCCCTATGGGGCCACGAAGCGCTCTACTGAGTGAGTGAAAATGCCAAATTGGGTTTCCGGGACGCATGCGGACGGTCCCACTGGGGGCTTCGGTGGAGCCCCTTATGGGGCCACGAAACGCTGCACTGCGCGGGTGAAAATACCAAATTACATTTCCAGGACGCTTCCGAACGGTGGCACTGGGGCCTTGGGTGGAGCCCCCTATGGGGCCACGAAACGCTGCACTGGGTGGGTGAAAATGCCAGATTGGGCTTCCGTGACGCATGCGGACGGGGGCACTGGGGCCTTCGGTGGAGCTCCCTGTGGGGCCACGAATCGCTGTACTGGGTGTGCGGGACGCATGCGGACGGTAGCGCTGGGACCTTCGGTGGGGTTCCCTATGGGGCCACGAAACGCTGTACTGGGCGTGCGGGACGCATGCGGACGGTAGCGCTGAGACCTTCGGTGGGGCTCCCTATGGGACCACGAAACGCTGTACTCGGCGTGCGGGACGCATGCGGACGGTAGCACTGGGACCGTAGGTGGGGCTCCCTGTGGGGCCACGAAACGCTGTACTGGGTGTGCGGCACGCATGCGGACGGTAGGAGGAAGGGGGGGCACGAGAAGAAGACGAGAACGCGGGGACCGTTTCTTCAAAACGAGGGCCCAACACCACAGGATGGTTGGGAATTTTCAGAAGGCCGGGGAACTTCCGAGCCTTCTGAGAAGGCCCGCCCCTTCTTACTTCCCCCCGGGCTCGCCGCCGAACGATAGAACGAGAGGGCGCCTTGGGTGGTCTGGGGCTGGCGACAGTCTGGTCCAGCCCGCCGACGATGCGATGCCGTGCCCTTTTTTCCTGATTTGAGCCCAAGCCCCCGTCGAGGGGAGGCGCCACCTCGCTGCGGAAACGAAGCGGCTGGCACTTCCAGCACGCGCTCCAGGCTCCTCCTCCTCCGCCTCCTCCGCCTCCTCCTCCTCCTCCTCCTCCTCCTCCTCCTCCATCCTCCTCCTCCTCCTCCTACTCCTCCTCCTCCTCCTCCTCCTCCTCCTCCTCCTTCCTCCTCCTCCTCCTCCTCCTCCCTCCTCCTCCTCCTCCTCCTCCTCCTCCTCCTCCTCCTCCTCTTCTTATGAGCATTACGATTATTAGTATGGATGTTCTTAGTGTTATGAGTCTTCGTATTACTAAAGGTGTTATGCTTATGAGTATTCAATCATTATTATGATTATGAGTATGTGTCTCATTCGCATTGTCAATATTGATATATATATATATATATATATATGAGAGAGAGAACAACAGCAAAAAAAACAAAATACGCTACCGAGGAACCCCACATACTTATTTTATGTCACGCGTGTTCACAAACCATGTCACATCCCGCTTCGCCTTTTTGAGCCAGACCAGCCAGACTGACCAGACCAGTCAGATCAGTCTTTCCAGCCACAACCAGCCAAAGTAATCAGACCAGCCAGCCAGGCCAATCAAGCAGACCAGCCAAACCAACCAGATGAGTCATTCCAACAATCGTCGACGACGGCGACGACGACGACGACGACGACGACGACGACGGCGGCGGCGGCGGCGGCGGCGGCGGCGGCGGCGCCCGGGCCTCCGAGGAGGAGGAGCAGTGGCAGCAGGAGGGACGAGAGGGATGGTCGAGGGCAGGTAGAGCGGAGAGGGCAGGAGCGCCCCCGAGTGCGACGACGAGGTACGACGACGATTTCGACGACGAGTACGACGACGAGTACGACGAGGACAACGAATACGACGTACGACGCGGGCGTGGCAACGCCCCCGTTGCCGGCGTCGCCGACCCGCCGAACTTTCGCCAACGGCGAGCCATCGCATCCTCCGCACACCCCCCCGGCTGATCAGCTGGGAACCCGCCGGACGAAGGGTTCAGCAAGTACCTAGTCAAGCACTGCCTCCTGGCATCGTCGGCGCCTTTTGTTCGCGGCAACTCGTTGTACCTGGTGAGGAGCGTGTCAGGCCACCAGTTTGCCAGCTGTCGGTGGTAAGCATCAAATGCGCGGCGTACCAAGGCGTTCCCATGCCGGAAAACATATATTCGCAAACCATCCAGGCTCACCTCAGCGCCCATATCTTGCATTGATTTCTTGAGCTGCTCGCAAGGCGGTGGCAAAGCAGACGTTGCGCATTTGGGCGCCATGACGGGGACCGTACCTTTGACGGAGAGTCACCGGCGGCCGTCCGCATTCACATATCCAGCAGTCTGAGCCCGCATGAGCCAGGGTGGCAACAATTCTTGATGATGATGACGACTACGATGCTACAGCTGCGCGCCCCCTATGGTGTCGAGACATTGCCACACCTGCTGTGCCTGGACGACCGTCGTGCATAGCGGCCGCGCTCAGGGACCACCCCCTGCGCACCCCCTATGGTGTCGAGAAAGTTCCACGCCTGCTGGGCCTGGACGACCGTCGTGCATAGCGGCCGAGCTCAGGGACCACCCCCTGCACACCCCCTATGGTGTCGAGAAAGTGCCACGCCTGCTGTGCCTGGACGACCGTCGTGCATAGCGGCCGCGCTCAGGGACCACCCCCTGCGCACCCCCTGTGGTGTCGAGAAAATGCCACGCCTGCTGTGCCTGGACGACCGTCGTGCATAGCGGCCGCGCTCAGGGACCACCCCCTGCGCACCCCCTATGGTGTCGAGAAAGTGCCACGCCTGCTGTGCCTGGACGACCGTCGTGCATAGCGGCCGAGCTCAGGGACCACCCCCTGCGCACCCCCTATGGTGTCGGGAAAGGCCACGCCTGCTGTGCCTGGACGACCGTCGTGCATATCGACCGAGCTCAGGGACCACCCCCTGCGCACCCCCTGTGGTGTCGAGAAAGTGCCACGCCTGCTGTGCCGACCGTCGTGCATAGCGGCCGAGCTCAGGGGACCACCGCCTGCACACCCCCTATGGTGTCGAGAAAGTGCCACGCCTGCTGTGCCTGGACGACCGTCGTGCATAGCGGACCACCCCCTGCGCACCCCCTCTGGTGTCGAGAAAGTGCCACGCCTGCTATGCCTGGACGACCGTCGCGCATAGCGCCGAGCTCAGGGACCACCCCCTGCGCCCCCCTCTGGTGTCGAGAAAGTGCCACGCCTGCTGTGCCTGGACGACCGTCGTGCATAGCGGCCGAGCTCAGGGACCACCCCCTGCGCACCCCCTCTGGTGTCGAGAAAGTGCCACGCCTGCTGTGCCTGGACGACCGTCGTGCATAGCGGCCGAGCTCAGGGACCACCCCCTGCGCACCCCGCCTATGGTGTCGAGAATTGCCACGCCTGGCTGTGCCTGGAGACCGTCGTGCATAGCGGCGAGCTCAGGGACCACCCCCTGCGCACCCCCTTTTATGGTGTCGAGAAATTGCCACGCCTGCTGTGCCTGGACGACCGTCGTGCATAGCGGCCGAGCTCAGGGACCACCCCCTGCGCACCCCCTATGGTGTCGAGAAAATGCCACGCCTGCTGTGCTTGGGCGACCGTCGTGCGTAGCGGTCGAGCTCAGGGACCACCCCCTGCGCACCCCCTCTGGTGTCGAGGAAGTTCCACGCCTGCTGTGCCTGGACGACCGTCGTGCATAGCGGTCGCGCTCAAGGACCACCCCCTGCGCACCCCCATGGTGTCGAGAAACTGCCACGCCTGCTGTGCCTGGACGACCGTCGTACATAGCGGCCGCGCTCAGGGACCACCCCCTGCGCACCCCCTGTGGTGTCGAGAAAGTGCCACCCCTGCCACGCTCTGCCGTGCCGTGCCCTGCGCGCCTGCCCTGTGTGCTATGCTGTGCTGAGCTGTGCTGCGATGTGCTGTGCTGTGCCGTACCGTGCTGTGCTGCGGTGTGCTGTACTGTGCTTTGCTGCGATGTGCTGTGCAGGTGTGCTGTGCAAAACTGCCACGCCTGCTGTGCCGTGGACGACCCCTATGGCGTCGAGAATGTGCCGCACGTGCCAAGCCGTGTGTGTGTGTGCTGTGCTGTGCTGTGCTGTGCTGTGCTGTGTGCGCTGCGCTGTGATGTGCTGTGCTGTGCTGTGATGTGCTGTGCTGTGCTGCGCTGCGCTGCGCTGCGCTGTGCTGTGTGCGTGAGGAGGGGGAGGAGGAGGAGGAGGGGAGGAGGGCGGGTGTGGGTGAGACGCGGGTGCGGCGCGGGTGGGAAGGAAACCAGAACCCCACGAAGCATGTGGGGAACAAAAAACTGGCGACGTACCCAACCCCTGCGCAAACGCGGGGCGCAAATAGGTTTGGACACTTTATAAGGGGGCGATGACGGAGCGAGGGTTACATATGTCTGCAGACGGAATTCGGGAGACTCGCAGGACACTGGCTACAGGACAAGGACTAGATAAAGCTGATTAGTTACAATCCCTGTGCAACCCTCGCCACTTCGAAAGCGGGGATCTCATATCGCAGCTCCCCAGGGATGGCGAGGTCTAATTTAGGTCCGCGCGTGGCGTCACTGTGCTGGCCCCCCCCAGCAGGCCTCGAAAGTGGCGACAGTTTCACAGATCGAATCCCCCCAGGGATGGCGAGGTCTAAGTTGGGTCCGCGCGTGGCGTCACTGTGCTGGGCCCCCCAGCAGGCCTCGAAAGTGGCGACAGTTTCACAGATCGCAGCCCCCCAGGGATGGCGAGGTCTAATTTGAATCTGCGTGTGGCGTCGCTGTGC